GCAATGTGTCCCCATGCCCACAGACCCCAGAGCCAGTCCCTGGGCCCTCAGCCATAAGATCTGTGGCTGGCAGAGAGGCTATCACTAAGGCACGGACTTATGCTCATGAGTGTAACCCTGCTGTCCTCAGAGCCTTTTCCCTGGGGAACTGTTGGAGGAGAAAAATCCCAAGGTCATCGTAGTGGTGACCACCCCCTCAGCTCCTCCTTTACCTGGTGGTGCTGAGGAGCACCTCACACACTCCTGGCACTGCACCCCATCAACCCGTTCTGCCCCAAAATTGGTAACTTCAGCACATCACAGCTCCCGTGGCCACTTGGCACCCAGCCCTCAGCTCACCCAGTGAGTGTAGGACCATGAGGTACCTACAGTAAAGGTCCCTGTGCCATGCAGGGGGTGAGCTCACACAGGAGGAGGGAAGGAGTTTCTCCCCCCGGGGCTTCCTTGTGTTGCGCCTGCAGCAAGCCCAACACATCTGTGGAGCAGGGACCCAGGGGTACTGGGGACAGGCCAGCACAGCCATCTCGGGCCCCCTTTGGGGCCAGCTCTTTGGGGAGAATGGAGCATGCCAGGAATTGTGCTTTTTCCTCTGATCTGCAGGCAGTCATGACAGTTAAGTGGATTGTTTTTCATTAGGGAAAGGCTGTTGCTAGGCCACCCTGGTCCCCAGCATTGGTTGGGAAGGGGTTTTGCAGCCAGGCCAGGAGGCTGTGCTGGTGGCTCTCACAAGGGCACATGTGCACACGCACACCCCTCCTGCAGCCGAAGTGCTAAGTGCCTGCCAGATGTGCCTATTCATTTCCACATCACACCTATTCGCTTCTTCTGGCCAAGCAGGTTATTAAGGCTCCTGAGACTTTAATTTACAGCCAGCTGTGAGTTTTCTGCCTTCTAATTTACGGTTGGGGTGTAGAGGAGAGGGTTGATGGTGGGTTGGTGGTACCGATGGGATGGGGGCACAGGGAGGCTGATTTCCCCCTCCACTGGGGCTAGTTTGGTCTCTGGCAGGTTGCCCATGCAAAGCCTCAGTTCTCTGCCTGCAAACAGAGTGAAGCATCCCTCTCTGTCCCTACAGCAAGGGGGCAGACTAACCCAAGTTACGGGCTTACTACAGGCTCTTACTGGGTACCAGCGTTGCTCCACTCTAAGACATTTGACGCTTATGTGGCACTTCAACCACAGGCACCATGATAACCAGTACAGGAGATGCTGCTCCCAGCCATGGTCCCCACGCCAACAAGCCCCTGGAAGCTAGGAGAGGTGCTGGACCACGGCCAGGTGCTGGTGGTGCAAGGAAGGAGGGTCCAACACATCCCTGGCACGGAGTCTCCTGGTAGAGCTATTGCTCTGCTAAGGTGCTGTTCGAAGCACCTTATGGGTTTCTGACACCCACCCAGCAGAAGCTGAGTCCCAGGTGCACAGGCAAGGCAGGGTGTGAGTAGAGCTCAGGATGTGAGTGGGATGGGGGCACGCATCCACTTTTACACCTGCAAAGCTGTCACCCCAAGGAATAGGAATAGACACCAGAACTGCGGACAATCTACGTGGAGCTTGGTTTCTGAGCGTCCCTCATGAAAACCCCCATGTAGCAGGAGGGCAGGAAGAGGAGAGCTCAATAAAAGCAAGGGAAAGCATTGAATTGCTGTCTGCTGCTCAAGGGGAGGCTGTTGCTAGACAGAAGTAAAAGCTGTCGCCATCGGCTCCCATTGGCTCAGCCCCACTCCAATGACGGGCTTATCAGTTACCTGCTCTCGCAGCTGGCTGGAAAAAACTCATTTGACAATGTTTTCCCCCTGATAAAAAAGCCCATTGCTGGATTCATGAGCCTGGGTTAATCATTATTCAGGGTCGTTTTCTGCAGAGTCTTCAATTATCACAAAATTTAGCATAAATGGTGAGCCAGCCTAGTCTCCTTCGCCTGACTAAAGATGCTCAGCCTCCCAGTGTGAGCACCAGCTCGAGTGATGAACCAGAGCGAAGGTTGGCTGCTTTCAGCCATAGCAACTCCCTGGCATGTAGGTGAATATTCACAAACACCTGTGAAAATCCTGCTCAGCTTTTGAAGGGTTCACCGGGTGCAAACTGAGTGAATGTTGCTCTCTAAATTACTCAGAGCCTGCTTCGTGAGCAGGGAGAGGATTGCCACCCCCCTTGTCACCCATGGTGGAGTTCGTTCAGTTTCAGGGGCTGCAGTGCACAATCTCGATCTTTCTTTCCAGCCCTTCAGGTCTGATGTAAATAGGGATTTCCCCTCCACCCCAAATCTGTTTCTCAGCTTCCCCAAGAGCTGGAGATCACAGCATAAAAGCAAAGCCTGGAGTCCATGTGAGCACCAGAGAGCAGCCTGCCTTGCTGCCTTCGAATTTTCCCCCAAAGTAGGGCAAGGAGGTTAAATCAGTGTGGTGGCAATGGGGACAAGCTCTCAGAGGCAGCCTGGGACTTTCGCAGCTCCTCATGCCTGGACTGTGCTGCTGGGGGCACACAGGCAGCCGTGCAGGTAGGCTGGGAGAGCTCTGTTGTCGGCAGGCAGGGAAAAAGCTGCCTGGGATCAGAGGGGATGAGAGCTTAGAGAAAACCATCGCTTTCTCAGAGCCCGGCTGAGGCTTACTTTTGGAAGTAGGTCTCACTAAAGTATTTGGATGGTGAAGACTTCAAAAAATTGTTGTGTGGGTTGCTTTTTTTTTTTATTCTTCCTCCCTTAATTATGCCTTGCCCTCACCGCTGGCTGACGGTGAGGCAGGCTGAGTCACAGGCTGA